TGGAGATGCATGAATCACTAGTTGTAAAGGTTGAAAGTTCAGATAAAAAGAAGGATGAGTTGCAGGAACTGCTTAATCTGGAGGAGCAGAAGTCAGCATCTATAAGAGAGAAGCTAAATGTTGCTGTTCGGAAGGGGAAGTCTTTGATTCAACAGCGAGATAGTCTGAAACAAGCTGTTGAAGAGATGACCACTGAGTTGAAACATCTGAGATCTGAGATGAAGTCTCAGGAAAATACTCTTGCTAGTTATGAGCAGAATTTTAAGGATTTCTCTGTTTATTCAGGACGTGCAGAGGCCTTGGAATCAGAGAATCTGTCTCTGAAGAACCGGTTGGCTGAAATAGAGAGGAATTTTCAGGAAAAAGAACATAAATTGAGCTCAATTATCAACACTTTAGTTCACATTGAAGATAATGTCGATGTTAGCGAAAATGACCCTATTGAGAAGCTGAAACAAGTTGGAAAACTATGCTCTGACCTGCGTGAAGCTATGTATTTTTCTGAACAAGAGTCGGTGAAATCTAGAAGAGCAGCAGAGTTACTTCTTGCAGAACTGAATGAAGTTCAGGAAAGAAATGACACTTTCCAAGAAGAGCTAGCAAAAGCTTCCGACGAGATTGCAGAATTGACCAAGGAAAGGGACTTAGCAGAGACTTCCAAGCTTGAAGCTCTATCTGAACTTGAAAAGTTATCTACTCTGCACTCCAAGGAAAAAAAGATCCAATATTCTCAGTTCATGGGATTAAAATCTGGCCTTGATCGATTAAAGGAGGCCATGCGTGAGATCAATTGCTTACTTGCTGATGCCTTCTCCAAGGATTTGGATGCTTTTTATAATCTGGAAGCTGCTATTCAGTCATGTACTGAGCCTAATGGTCCTGCTGATGTCAATCTTTCTCATTCCATTGTGTCTGGTGCCTTCAAATCTAGGGATCTGAAGGACAAGGTACGGTTCCTCTGTAAATTTACTTTTTCTCCCCTTAATAGTTGTTTTATTATCTCATTTACCTTGGCTCCTGTTTTTGAGGTGTGGTATTTGGGTTGATAGTTCTATAAACCAAACTTGGGTTTGTTAAATCCAGTTTTCTCAACTCCTTAGCCCATAGATTAGGAAAACTCTCTGAATTTGCTCCATAACATCTAACCATCGTCTCTGGTCTCTTTCTTCCAGAATGTATCAACTTCTTAATTAAACATATTAGTTAAATAAAAACTAATAATTAATGGGAATTTTTACAATAAATAAGTAAATAAATTTAGTTGGAATGGTAATAATAATGATTAAGATTTAAATTCTAATATGGTCTCAATACTTTTAAAACGTCAATTTTGGTTTATTAATGAGGGTTGCTTTTCTTTTAGGGGAAATTTTTTTCTCTTGATTCCTGGTCGAACTTTTACACTAATGCTCATGTGGATGAAAATGTTGCAACTGAAATACATAGTCTTGTGCACCAACTAGAAGAATCGATGAAGGAAATTGGTGCTCTGAAAGAAATGATAGATGGGCATTCTGTGTCATTCCACAAACAATCCGACTCTCTATCTAAGATACTGGGGGTACTTTATAGAGAAGTTAATTCACAGAAAGAATTGGTTCAAGCATTAAAGTGGGATGTGCAACAGAGTGAATCAGTTGCAAAAGACAGAGAAATGGAAGGTGATATCTTATGTAGAAACATTGCTATGCTTTTTGAAGCATGCACATCTGTTATTAAGGAAGTTGACGAAAGAAAAGGGGAACTAATGGGACATGATTTGACCAGTGGAAATTTGGGAATGGAAATTATCTCCACTACACCTGATCAACTTTCACACGCTGGAAAAACTCATTTATTGTCTGAGGAATCTGTCCGGAAAATTGCTGACAGGTTGTTGTTGGCAGTGAGGGAATTTATAGGTTTTAAAGCTGAAATGTTAGATGGTAGTCTAAAGGAAATGAAGGTTTCAGTAGCAAATTTGCAGAAAGAGCTTCAGGAAAAGGACATCCAGAAGGAAAGGATTTGCATGGAGCTTGTTGGTCAAATTAAGGAAGCAGAAGCAACTGCGAGTAGATATTCAATTGATCTTCAAGCCTCAAAGGATCAGGTATATGAGTTGGAGAAAGTAACGGAACAGATGGATAGCGAGAGGAAGGTCCTGGAGCAGAGATTAAGGGAGATGCAAGATGGTTTGTCTATTTCGGATGAGTTAAGGGAGAGGGTCAGGTTACTCACAGGTTCGCTTGCAGCAAAAGACCAGGGTATGTTAAATTGTCCTTAAATCCTTCATATATCTAATGTTCACAGAGATTATAAATACTTAGGCTGGCTTTGGTTAATGTTTATTGTTTGCAGAAATTGAGGCCCTAATGCATGCGCTTGATGAGGAGGAGCTGCAGATGGAAGGTTTGACCAAAAAGATTGAGGATCTGGAAAGAGACTTGAAGCAAAAGAATCAGGAACTTGAGAGCATCGAAGCTTCTCGCGGGAAGCTCATGAAAAAACTCTCAATAACAGTGACGAAATTTGACGAGCTTCATCATCTGTCCGAAAGTCTCTTAACTGAGGTTGAAAAACTTCAAGCACAGTTGCAAGATCGGGATGCTGAAATATCGTTTTTGAGACAAGAGGTAACTAGATGTACCAATGATGCTCTTGTTGCAACCCAGACAAGCAACAGAAACTCAGAGGATATCAACGAGGTCATAACATGGTTTGACACAATGGAAGCTCGGGTGGGGTTGTCTCATAGTGGTCATGATGACAAGGAAAATGAAGTTCGTGAATGCAAGGAAGTACTCAAGAAAAAGATTACATCTATCTTAAAAGGAATTGAGGATCTCCAAGCAGAGTCTCAGAGGAAGGATGAAATGTTGCTGGCTGAAAAGAATAAAGTAGAAGAACTGAAACGCAAGGAATTGCAATTAAACTTGCTTGAAGATGTTGGAGATAATAATAGAGCGAGCAGTGTCGCCCCTGAAATCTTTGAATCTGAACCATTGGTGAGGTTTTTGGTAGTTCTTCTCGTATTTTGAGTATAAAATACTTTTGATAATAATAGATTGTACTTTCGATCATAATTTCTTGCCATTTCTGATGTTTCATGATTTTTGTGAAATAGCCTCTTGCATGTTCATCCATTCGCATTTTCCCCTTAACTAAACTATGAAATGAAATGTTCATGTTTGCTTAGTTTGCATGTGGATGGTGATGTTAAAGTTGCTTTTTGTTCAATTATCATTTCCTCATTCGTTATGAAATAACAGAAGTAATTAACTCACTCCATACGTTACTATTGTCATTGTTTTTTCTGTTGAAGCACATTGTGAAAAGTTGTATCTTATGTACTCTTTTGGCAGATTAACAAATGGGCAGCAAGCAGTACCTCTGTTACACCTCAAGTCCGTAGCTTGCGCAAAGGCAATACTACCGATCAAGTTGCGATTGCCATAGATATGGATCCTGCTAGCAGTAGTAATAGGTTAGAGGACGAAGATGACGATAAAGGTAAAATTCTAAACTAGCGTGATTATTATCTCCTTCCTTTTCAATTTGAACTTGTGATCTAATTGCCTAAACTATCGTTCCTTTGATTCTCCATTATAGTGCATGGTTTCAAGTCGTTAGCTTCTTCGAGAATTGTTCCAAAATTTTCAAGACGTATGACGGACATGATTGATGGCCTTTGGTATGCATATGCATATTCTTTTTAGTCACTTAAATATTTAGATCTGAACAAGTCTGAAGCACGATTTTGTTTATAATTTTTCTAGGGTTTCTTGTGATCGGGCGCTGATGCGACAACCTGCTTTACGACTGGGGATTATTATCTATTGGGCCATATTACATGCACTTGTTGCCACATTTGTAGTTTGAGCAGTGAAATTGGTTAGTCATTCATCTTTTCTTCAGCTGTTCGCTAATATATCGGGTTTTTTTTTAGAGAAAATATATCGGTTATTATATATATATATATCCTTTCCTTTTTTATGTCCATATGTTGCTTGATTGGTCGTTGTTAACTTTAGGTTAATATCATGTCCACTATAGGCGAGTTGGAGGATGATTTTTTAAAAGAGAATATTTAAGGTGCATAACTATTTCGATTTCTGTTTTCTCTTTTTAAAAATTAAGTTTGGAAACATTAATTTACTCGTGTGTTCTTTTGTTTTGTTGTATAGTTTTTGTAAACATTTTCAAAATCTAGCCCAACTTTAAAAAAAAAAAAAGAACACTTCTAATCCTCCATAAGCATTACAAGGCATGTCAATCCTACTTTGTTACACGAACACCGTGCACGTGCAACATATTCGTGCAATATCTGTAATTTCCCTTGCCTCTCATTTTTCCAGGTCCATAATTCGCCGGAAGAAAAGAAGAAAGAGTTGGTATAACTGGTTCCCCATCATATGGATAGACATTAGGTTCCTCATTCGTTTGTACATGTTTTATTTTTCTACCATTAGAGTGAGCTGATCAGATGATTTATTTTTTCTTTCGTTCATCCCCGACCGAGCGATTGCGATTTCCCCAATTTTTTCCTTGCAAATCGCAGATTGCTTGGCCGCATCAAATAAGGATCACAGAAATCTTTGTCCATTTCAAAGTATAGATCATCATTTTGTTTACTCAGAAACCAACCTTACTCTCAGATTGTACGAGACACAGCAATTTTTGTTACAAATTTTTGCTACAAAGCCGTAAAAGGGCTCTCCAGCTTTTAGAATAGAAAACTTTGCATCTTGTTATTTGTTTCCAACTTTGAGATATATCATCGCATCTGCATGTACTCAAATTTAGTTTGTACGTCAGGTTGTGAATATAAAATTTAGATCTTCTGCTCCCCATTTTATTTTAATTTTATATATATCTCATTGGTCGGGTGGTTATCTATTTAATTCTTAATATTTTTAAAAATTGCGGTTAAATTCATGAGCTTTGAGTAATGATTTTGTGTAACAAAGTCGTAAATGTCAAGTGATTTGGCATGAAAGAGATTTGATATGTTAGCTTCAAAGCCGGTGTGTTATGTTGAGTCAAATCTATTAACAGTTATCTAATACATGTCACATGAATAAAAAAAAGCACAAAAAAAATATGTATTTTTCCATATAGTATTGAGTTCAAAATTTTATAAAAATACTAAAAATCACTTCTTTGACCTTTAACAAAAAAAAATTTATTTTTATAGATAAATATTTATTTTATGTCATTTCGTATAATTTTCTTTATATTTTGTTGTGAACCTAAAGAGAGTATAGGTGCTTTAATCAATTATCTCTTCAACCACACATCTTATTCTTACCGAGCAAATAAAAATAGAAATACAATTTTTTTTTTATTATTTGTTGAGCTATTCTTGAATTAGCAAGAACACCATAATTTAGATGAGTATGAAGCATATTGAATCAGCAAGAACACCATAATTTAGATGAGTAGGAAGCATACACCATAATTTAGATGAGTAGGAAGCATAAACTAAACAAAGCAATTGAAATTATTAAACATAATTACCAAAATTCAAAAACTAAATGAACATATTACCGATGGAAGAGACGAGAGAATAAGCATGAAACCCATAAACGAATCAGAGGAGCTATAGTGGTGATGCTTTTACTTGGTCTAAAAAGCTCTTGAAATTCCCTTTTGGATTCTCCTCAAACCTTGCTATCCTGAAATACTTCAGCTCCACCCTTTCCGCCGTCCCGTCCACCGCAAGATCTGCCAGCACTCTCCCGATCGCCGGTGACATTTTGAACCCGTGCCCCGAGAACCCGCCGCCGATCACCACATCCTTGCCAAATTCCCCTCCCAAAAAATCAATCACAAAGTCCTCATCTGGTGTCATT